GGTATCTGTAAACAATTCTACTTGCAATTACAGTAATGGCAGAGATGATCAATGACGTCACAATAATTGTAGTTAGAGTGTATGAGGAACAAACTTTTTCTAATTTTTCAAGTATATTCTTTGTATTATTTAAAGGATATTCTGCAAAATTGCCAAATGCACAGGTATAGTTTTCAAAATACAAAAAATGAAGAGACTTAGAGCTGTACATCCACCGAATGAAATCAAGATTTTCGCACGAACACTTTAAACGATTGCCCATCAAATTAACCTGAATTAGTTTAGATGTTGATATGCTAGTTAATGCTTCTCTCGTAGCTGACTCAAGACCTGATAACTGATTATAAGAGAGATCTAATAAGATAAGATTTCTCATATGTCCAATTCGCACTTGAAATTTACTTAGTGAGTTATAGTGTAGATACAAACGTTCCAATTTCTTGTTGCTTAAAAACACCTTTTCTGAAAGGCGATATATTCTATTGATAGACAAATCCAGTGTTAATAAATCTGTTTGCGCAGATAAAATCACTCCATTTTTATCATTTTCAAAAACCTGTCCCAAAGCGTTATTAGAAATATTCAAATATTTAAGTCCTGAAAATGATTTAAAAAACGATTTTGATATAAAACCACAAAAGTTACCGGAAAAATCAATGTAATCAATTTGGTCTACACCTGTGACAGGTCCTATGACTTCATAGATAATATTTCGTTGTCCATACACATGAGTTAAATTAGCAAGATGCGCTAAAGGAAAGTGGGGAATAGACATTTTATATAAATTGTCATGAAAATAAAATTTGCGTAGGTTCGGTGGAAAGTAAACCGTGTAGTTAAAATCTCGTGTAAGAAAATTATCCATTTCAGGAAGGACTTTGTCAACAGAGGTTGCACTATTACATGTTTCATGTAGGTACAAGTCGAAGTTTGGCTTTCTTCGAGTATCATTGCATTGATCAAAGAAGTTGCGATTCATAAGAACTTGATGAAATGTTGATTGGAAACTAACGTTAAGAACCTCCAACTTGTGTAAAGCCGCAAATTCCATGATGTACAGCCCATAACTTAGCACATTATCTGCCAGATTCAGGACCAGGAGAGATTTTGGTAGGGAAGCCAAAGCACCCGTTTCTAAACTATTTATTCTGTTTGATGCTAAATTCAGTTCTTTCAACTGTGTTCTCTTCAAATTCAAAATGTGGTTTATTGTTAAGATCTGACTAACCCCATAGGTGCATTGAAGTTTCTCGAAATTTAAAGTTTTTATGTTTGAATTCTTCAGATCCTGAGAAATATTAAATAGAACATCAATAGTAAGTATAGTATTATAAGAAATGTCCAGATTTTCAAGGAATGAAGTGTTTTGAAAAGTTCCCTTCTGAACTTCGATGAGTCTGTTCCAAGAAATGCTGAAGTTTCGAAGATGTATATATTTGGCCAATGACGCATTATCCAATTTATATAATTTGTTATGGGACATTTCCAGGTAGAGCAGTGTCTGTGGAAGATTTTGGGGTATGTGTGAAAAGTTGTTCCTTGCTAAATTTATACCAGTGACGTCAGAAGGGAATTCTGGTGTCTTATTCAGGCCTTGCCCTGAGCAGTCGGCAAAGATGCTTTTGTTGTGAGCTGTGCATGTGCACAAACTGCTGAAGGGGCATTTATATTTTAATCCTTCCACCATTACTAGGCACATCAGGATAGAAATCCAACTTCTGGACTCCAGTGCTGGATGAAAAATAAAAAATAATATATTTTAGTATAGATCAAATGTTGAAAAGTTCAGGTGTTTACTGATGTTGTGGAAAACAGAGTGCAGATGACACGTGATAACTACTTTGTTTAACTTCAAGGCAACTTGAAGGATATTAGAAAAGAAATTGGGGGGGATAAGCCGAGCCATTTGACAACATAATGAAAGATAAAAAATCGGTAAATTCATTTTCCACAAAATTCACTTTCACTTAAATTTATATATTGCTAATTGCCATTTGCATAAAAATTTACAATACCTAAATACTGTAAAATCACATATTTTCGTGGGGTCAAATTTTCGTGGTTTGAGGAAAAAATGTTGGTTCGTGGGGATTTGATTTCGTTGATGAAGAACTTTTTAGTAGTTATGCATATGAAAATTTACATTTCGTGGTAGACATAAATTCGTGGTTCCCTTCATTCCACGAAAACAACGAAAATTAAACCCCCACGAAAATTAGTTATTTCACAGTACTGTAACAGCGAATTCGATTCTGCATGATTAACTCACCAATTTAGCAACACGCTCCTTTTTCACAAAAATTGACATAATTTGGATGCTCTAACCACAAATTTGAAATAGAGTGGGTCATTGTACCATTTTTCTGAGGACGAATAATGAAAGGCAATGGACATATGTTTCTTATTACACTCGCAAAAAAGTGGTACAAAGACCCGCTCTATATATAAAAAAATAAGTTTATTTACTTTCATTTTCATTATGGTCTTTAAAAATTCTAAGTCCAAATACGCTATCCATATATAGAAAACAGTATAGTATTAAAATCCTTATGTATGTGTGACGGCGTGGCCTAGTGGCTAGCGAGTAGTTCTTTAAAATGACGCTTTGTAAGGAAAGTGTTCGATATTTTACAATTATTTTTTTTTGTTTTGTATTATAATTAAGTTGCTCTAGGATTACTAGTAATTAGTACATTTTTTTTTTACTGAAAATAACATATATATATGCATTTGATAATGAACCCATTTATAATATATTATTAAAAATGCCAGATAAAAATTAAAATGAATATACATTGGAATACTTGTATTTTCATTTTTACTTATTTTACTACAAGACCTTTTAATCCAGATATAATCACTATCATTATAAATAATGTAAAAATTTTGATAATAGCCCCACATGCAATATGTGTTATATACAACATTCAGATAACAAAATAGACGTCCTTAACCATGTTAGACAATTTGTGGCAAAAAATAAAAGTAAAGTGTTTAGTTTCTTTTATAAAGTCTAGATAATTTTACAAATATAAATATTCATGCATATATCATTACTTAAAACATTGCCATTCAAATGTCCAAAAGTTACCTGGATAACCATAATAACACAATGGGAGTTCAAGCATCCTTGTTTTCTGGGGGAACCTGTCTGATAATGTTGTAAAAGAAAAAGTCAAAGTCATTAAAAAAATAGAAAATGAACTCTCTTGTTTCATTAATTTCATTCATTCAATGGCAGTCGTTTCGATTTAGCAGGACAGGGGTACGGTGGTGAAAGATTGGGGTGGGGAAATTTTTATTTATGATGTGCATAAATTGACATTGATACTGACATAATTTTGGGTGATATTTTAACCATCACCATGGCAAGTAATTAATGCATATTTATACCCTAGCTAAATTGTTAGCTTAGATAATGGAAATTCTCAGGTTTTGAAAGTGTGGCCATGGGGGAACAAACATAAATGGAGATTGCAGAATCTTTTTTTCAGAAATGGATTTAAATTCGCTTTCTATTCAAAGTGCTGAATCAAAAACTCTTTTGAAGAGTGAAAATTAATGTTGTGGAAGGTTTAAACTCGGATTTCTTTTCATGGATTTGCTATTTTGTATTGGATCAACTTAATTTCCTTGCGTTTGGTTTCCCTGAATTTTTCCTAACATTTTTATTGGGGGTTTCTGGACATATTTAATCTTAATTTCACTCTTTTTTTTTGTTTTTTTAAAAACTGTCCGATTTTGTTATCATTGCCGTCCGATAATATATTATCAGACTGGTAATTATCATTATCGGACGGCTACAGGTAAATTTTTAGACTGCAAGAACAAATGCTTGACGTCACAGCAATGTTTTGATAAAGTATATCATCACTGATCATTCAGATAACAAAATATAGACGTCCTTAATTAACCATGTTACACAATTTGTGGCAAAAAATAAAAGTAAAGTGTTAAGTTTCTTTAAAGTCTAGAGATCATTTTCACAAATACTTTAAATATTCAAATGCATAGTTACATTCGGAGAATTGAAATATTTCCTAAAAACGTACTTGCATAACCATAAAACGGGCATGGGCATTCGGCTCGCCTTATCCCCCCAGATTCTTTGGGGGGAAATGTCACTACATATGACGACTCAAGTGTTGTGCAAAGATCGAAAGTCAAAGTCATCAAAAAAAAATAAAATTAGCTCTTTCTCGATCTCTTTTGTTTTTCAAGATACATGTATGCTGTTTGTCTTCCAAGATTTCATCTAGTTATGATGACTTTTTAAAATACTTTTTTTTTCTAATTTTCTTACCTTAACCCCCTTAAATATCTTAATATCGTTATGATTTATGAGTACATGTGCATGTACAAATATAGTTATCAAAATGTTTTTCAAATTAAAGAGCACAGAGAGTGACATATGTATACATAAAGTATATGTTGTTAGAATTATACACATATACGAACGAGAAATGTTTTGTTAAGGATTGATTGATTAATTGTATACTGTTTAACGTCCCTCTCCAGAATATTTCACTGATATGGAGACGTCACCATTGCCGGTGAAGAGTATGGGGCGCCGTTTTGGTATTTACTGCCAAAAAGTGATATCACCTATTCGAATAGGTTATATCACTTATTCGAATAGGTGATATCACCTTTTCTAAAAGGTGATATCACCTATTCGAATAGGTGATATCACCTTTTGAAAATGAATAGGTGATATCACGTATTCGAATATCACCTATTCGATTTGAATAGGTGATATCACTTATCCAAATAGGTGATATCACCTATTCAGCACGAATAGGTGATATCACTTATTCGAATAGGTGATATCACCTATTCGAATGTGATATCACCTATTTCGGATAGGATTTCCAAATATTTCACCAATTCAATATCGAATACGTGATATCACCTATTCAAATAGGTGATATCACCTATACAAAATCTGAAAAAAAATCAATTTTAACAAGTGAAAAACTGAATAGGTGATATAAACCTATTCGAATAGGTTTTTTTTGATATCACTTTTTGGCAATAAATACCAAAACGGCGCCTATATTGAAGGGCTGCAAATTTAAGCCTATGCTCGGCACCTACGGCCTTTGAGCAGGGAGGAATCTTTATCGTGCCACACCTGTCGTGCCACACCTGCTGTGACACGGGGCCTCTTTATATCTTCTTATTGTTAAAAAATATAATATAGTCGCCTTTTACGACAAGCAAGGGGTACTGGTTTTGTTAAGGATGACGTTTACTCATGTTTAAGAAAACAGAGAGGAAATTTTAATAGAATAAAAGAATTTTAAAGAATAATATGTTAAATCAAAAATTGTACTATATGGATAAAATTACGAAGTTAAAACTCAATATCAATTTAAATTTCATATTTTATTATTTGAAGAAAATATACAGTACTTAACAAAAGTCAGTGTATGGTAATTCAGAGGAAATTTGGACTAATTTTTTTATTTTTTATTTTTGTCAAAATCTAATATTTCTTGCAATATTAATCACAATGTAAAGGTTACATGAATTTGTAGACATCATTTTGCAAATGTTATGTCTTAAAGTTCATAAATTATTTCAAATAATTGAATGCTAGTAAATAAAGAAATTCAAAAATATGAACAAAAACCATTCCAGGCAACTTATCTCAATAATTTGATCATTTACCCAATATGAGGCTATATAAATAATTTAGAAACTGGGAAAAGAGTTTAAGATTTTCTAAATATTGGGGGGATTATAATTTGTTTTGTTTGAAAAATTTTTTATTTTTACAGAGAAAATTCGGACTTGAATAATTATTATGTTTATAGCCAAAACTCTAACCCTTTCTTTATATGAAGCAACACTGTTCCATTGCTATTATAATATTTCATTATTTAAAGAGTTTTGTTGCTTGTAATATTTTGTGATTTAAGAAAAAATTGGTCATAGGGTGAAAAATTTAGGTATTTCCCGAGAAACTATGCCACTAGCATGAAAAGTAGGTCCCTGACCTAGTTATTTGAAATTGAAATTAAACACAAGAATTATAGATGTACAATGTGCAATAGGTGGTTGTTCGTTCTTATCAGTGGAATTTTAATCATCTGAGTAAAGGTTATACCTTAACCCACACAAAATGTATTAGCACACATATACACGTTTGTTTATGAAACTAAATATATCTAGATATAACAATTCAATTAATGGGTAAAATTCACAACCACAGTCCACAATCATATATATTATATTTACTGTAAAATCACAAATTTAGTGGGGCTTTTTTCGTTATTTTCCTTGTTTCCGACGTAATATGAAGAGACCCATTACTTCATGTCCTCGATGAAATGTAGAATATTTTTCCTCAACCACGAAAATATGTGATTTTATAGTAGTTTGCAGAAATGTGCAATTTTTACTGATACTTACTCATTATCAGCAATCTTTTTTAATCCCTAAATTTACACTCTTTTTGAAAATTAACTTGACCATTCACAAGCAAATTTCAAAAACCTTTAGTGAAAACATTAGAAATTGGGTTCCCGAGGAAGCAATGCATATAAGGTGTTAATAAATTATTCCTGCTATCAGGAGGAAATATCATTATTGATTAATTCTGTTGATTTAGTGAAAGTTAAACATACATTTATGTAATGAATTATTTATTTAAGGCAATAATGAAAGGAAATGAGAATGGGCAACAAATATCATATATAATAAAGATTCTTAATTGAGGATATTGATATTTAATTTATACCAAAAAGCACACTGTAGTGTCACCTTGCCCCGTTTTAACCTAGAGAGGAAGTTATATTTGTTTAGAAAACAAGTGCATATAGAATAAGGGTCATTTGCTTCTTGTTGCTCTATAGAAAAATGTCTATGATTATAATAAAATATTATCCTAAATGCCATAGGCATCGGAACCGGGGGAGCTTTTCTTTTTTGCAAAAATAGGCATTATACATGTATATAGGCATTGAATAAATATACGAGGGTGTAGCCCCCCCCCCCCCCCACACACACACACACTTTTGATTAAACCCTACTTTCAATTTGGAGGCTCTATCAAATGTAGATTAATTGCAAAAAAGTACCATGGCCATAGAGGCCATCTTTAAAAAAATGTTTGTTTGCCCTCTCCGACAGACGGACTAAAAATTGCCAGACTCATAACTTTGTTCCAGTACATCTATTGTCTATTTATTCCTCTTATCCAGTCAACAAATATGTTAAAGTTTTCTCGACCATTTTTCCCACCTATACATACCTACTCAATGATTTTACCCTGAGTTTGGAGAGGGAAAACAAACATACTTTTACAGATAGTCCAATCTAATTAAAATTAGATCTCTTATCCAGTCAACAAATATATTAAAGTTTTCTCGACAATTTTCCCCACGTACATACCTACTCAGTGATTTTACCCTGAGTTGGGAGAGGGAAAGCAAAAATTCTTTTACAGATAGCCTGAATGAGAAATAGAGGGTTCTTATGAAGTTTTTTTTTTCTCCGCAACCCTCCCTTGTTCTAACATCACCCATGACCAGAGGGTGCATGAGCAAAGGTCTTTACCAAAAAAAGAAGGAAAAAAAACATTTGTAGTAGAATTCTTGTATGGGCCATCATTTCTTAGCTTATTTTTATGAACGGATCGAGGTCTATGGGTAGAGGGAATGCAGTCAGACACACACTTTGAACCAACTTTTTAAATTTAAGATCAAGGTCAGAAAATTTCTTCGTATAAGAAAACCTTGTTCAGAGTATTACGTTGTTGTCTTCTCGTTGTTGTTCATCTTTTCTCATTTTTATCTTCTTTCAAAAACCACTGCCAATTTTGGAAATTCCAAACTTATTACAAATATACGTAACGAGGAATCTAAATTGATCTCACAAAATACAACCCCCCTACCCTCAGTAAACTTTCAGGCAATTTGATATGTGCTTTTCCTAGCCAATTGCTCAGGATTTTAATATTGTGGATATTTAGTTATGTTTATATTCCTTGATTTTATAAAGTTTAACCTGTTGCAATGGGAACTAAAAAGATTCAGTCAATTATTTCATGAGTTAAATTTTCCGTATAATATGATGTTTTTTGTAAAGGAATAATAATTGAATTTCTTGCTTTTTAAAATTGCAGGTAATGAATTGTATTATTTTGTTTACTGCTATGAAAATTGTCTCAATTTTTTTCTGATTGTATATACATGTATTTACAAGAGGGGTGATAGGCTAACTATTTCTTTTAAAAGAAATTACCAGGAGTATTTCCAATTTGTAATGTTATTAATTTAGGTAACTTCCATGACACAAACTCCAATTTTGAGAGGTAAAAGGCTCAACACATGAGCTTGTATATGAAATATATCAATTAAATTCATAAAAAAGATTAACCACAATTAAGGTATTTGAACGAATAGGTATTCATTCGATAATTCCAGTCTATTTATTTATTTATTTATCATGTTTATTCGTTAATTTACTTATTTATTTATTTCAGCTTAGCTGTTTATGTGCAGTTTTCACAAAAATTGTTTTGGAAAGAAATAGATAAAAGGTCAAATGTATTTGACACAGGTACTTGTGGACAGGACCCCCCCCCCCCCCCAATATTCAACTACGGGGCTTATTTGACTTTTTTTTCACAATTTATATAGTAAAACTTATTCAACATGTTTATAATAATTATCGTCAAAACCCAAAAATAATCGCTTCATAAAAAAATACCCCACTATACATTATAAGAGAGAAGGTTAGTTAGAATAATCTAACTGTGTCTTGGTACAGGCCCTCACCACAGTTAGAATACGTCCCATATACTTGTAATGTAGCCCTATCCGCTCCGAAATGATTTTGAAGAATATAAAATGATTTGCAGGAATTACCAAAATAATCAAAACAAACCTTCTTGAGATTGCTTATGCCTTTTATTTAAAAATAATCCATATAAATGTGAAAATCCAATTAATTTTCTCAACGTTTTTCTCTAGATGGCAAATTACCGGCCATGTTTACATTTGGAACTCTCTGATTGTTCCAAGTAAATTTTCTATGCGGTTATCGCCCGTGTTTTTTTCTACTACATTACGAATACAGAGACTATTTATTAGACAATATATACGATAAATTTATTTGTAAGCAACTTCGGTTTGTTTACGTTTAGGTTACGGAAGTTATTACCAATGATAACACCCGAGAGTGATTATTACTATTTAAAACTCTCTGACGTTAGGTAATGTAACATTCTCTATGCACTTTTGTTTACCTAAGGGAATTTGAACATTCTAAATTTTTTTCTGATGCAGAGTCAATTCGATAGCATTGACTGAGACAGAAATATATGTAGAGACAGTGTGGACCGACATTTTAGGTGAAAATGAAATAAATAAATATTTTTAAACCCAGAAAGACCAGTGGGGGTACAACGTAAACAAACCGAAGTTGCTTACCTTCTCTCTTATAATGTATAGTGGGGTATTTTTTTATGAAGCGATTATTTTTGGGTTTTGACGACTTCCTATTGCAAACACAAGTGTACTTAATATAAATTTGAAAAAAATTTCAAATAAGAATGTGCAATTCAACACACAGTACCTGTGGTATTTGACGCTTGAAAATGTACTATGCATGGGCTATCAAAACAACAACCTAAAGATATTTCACTCATTGCAGCTTTTGGAATACAAAAAAAAATAATTTAAGTATTAGAGTAACTGTCCACTACCTTCTGTGCATTAAATTGATGATATAAAGCTATGTGTGTGTTCAAACTAGCTTCAGCTTAGCTATTTATGTGCAGTTTTCACAAAAATTGTTTGGAAAGAAATAGACAAAAGGTCAAATGTATTTGACTCTTGAAAATGTTTTGTTATACCTTTCATTTATTATATAACAACATGTATTTTGTAAGATCCATTATTAACATCATATGTCACTGTTTGGAATACCAACGAAAAAAAAAAAAATTTAATTATCTAGCGGTCCAACATCTCCACGGTCCAACATCGATTTTTTTATGCCCGTGCAAAACATTAAAAATGTTAGACTTTTTTTCGTGTAGATTTGTATAGGAACAATTTTTTAAATATAACAGTAATATTTGTTCGGGGTCATTTTAAAAAAAGTCAATGTTTGGCCACTAGCTGTTAGTGTTATTCACATCTATTGAGATATTGGGCCACTTACATCACACAATGGAAGTGACAGCTTTGTTTGGTGTTTGAAATATATATATTTAATATATACCTAACGTGTATCACTCAATTGTACTGTTGATTTCATGCTATCATGTGACTTCGTGATCTGATTTTACGGATCACCTACACTGGTTTTCTGAATCCGTATCACCACTCTCTGAAACTGATGACATAGTACGCAGAAACATGACGTTATTTTTCTTGCACGTTAAAAAGTCCCTTTTTATTATATAAATATTGCATGAAATTGAGTGTAACATCGAAAATTTATTATTAATAACAGTAATTTGATCCGAAGAGCCTTATCACATCTTGTTGACAGGCGCGGATCATCACATCAAACTCGACGCTTCATGTCTTGTTAGATCTGATGATCCGCACCTGTCAACTCGACGTGATACGAGTCATCATTTGACCCTTTGGATCAAGTTACTGTTATAATTATATATATATACTGTAACCTTAATGCAGGTAAAAGGAAACTTTCTTCTAGAAACCAGTGCAATTTACATAAATGTTAAAAATTAAAAGGTGTAAAAAGAAAAAAAACCTTTATAGGCCATGTTTTTACCCAAGAACACAGCTAGTCTAAAAAAAAGGTTTTTCTTTTTACACCTTTTAATTTAAATTTCAGTCATTGTGATTACATCTTTCTTTTTGTAAACTTTTGGAACCAAACTTTTTACCTTTTGCTTAAAAAAGGTTTTTTGGATTAAGTCACCCTCAAACCCAGTCTAATGTAAGCTAGATTGTACATCAGTCAAAAATTATAACAGATAATTTCTCTGCATCTCTTCATGTATCAGATTTTCTGTCTAAAGGTTACAGATGTAAAACATTGTGACCTTTATACAGAGTGTGGTGTAAACTCTGTACGTGTACAGATGTTGACTGATATATTGATGGTGTGTCCCTATCACACTTTAACTCTCTTCCCTGTCATGCTTGGTCGACTCCTGTCATATAATCCAAAAATCAATGTCACAAGAGCTCTTTTCTCAATTCTCTAGGTAAGCAAGATATTTGATAAAATCAAGTTAAGATTTAATTGACATAAATTTTTTTTTTAATTTTGATACTACCATTTATTTTCAGTATTTTTTAATTTCTATTTGATATGTTGAAATATGAAGTAGTTGCTTGGATGGCTGTATTCATGCACAGTGTATTCTTGAATTTTCCTCTCTATTTATACAAATGTACATGCAATGTCTATATACATGTACATGTTTACGTGTAGATGGAGGACTTTGTCATCATCTTTCACTCATTACATCCACCTCCCTCTTCCAAGAAAGTCAATGAATTCTCTTCTCGTCTCAACAAAGGCAATAGGAATATTAAAGTGGAGGATTATGAATGGCATACATATTCATTATATACTTAATATATAAACACACCAGAATCTGATTTTTACAGTTGTTGAAAGATATGCATAACATGATAAGTTCTCATAGTCATTCTGTTTATGTTTTGTGCAGTAAAATTACCTGTGATTGATAATGGATGTTTGGGACATTTAGATAATTAATCATTAATGCACATACACATATTAAGTTTCTTGTAATTTTACCTGCAGGTTACCTGTGTGCATAGATTTTTTTACAACAAAATTTAAATACCTGTGCTGAAGTTTTGTTTGGTTATCATGGTTATTTGTGAATTTATTAATTTATTTATAAACATCCCCAGATCAGAGAAGACATACTTTTAAGACACTCCGCTTAAGAAAGGTGAGATATATAAAACAATTACCGTATTTGGGGGAATTTAATATGCACTTTTTTCCTAAAATAAATTTCTGTGAGAAAGGGATGCATATTTTACATCACAATGGGATTTTGATAAGTTTTTCTTTCAGGTGAAACACGGCTATCATAAGTACATACCGTAGTATTACCTTATAGAAACATCTGCAATTTCTTTTGTTTATCACCAAATTTTAAACTTCGGAAAGTTATTGAAGTTATTGTTGGAACGTATGCTTGTTAAAAATGTCATTTTCATAATCTTTTGATGCTAAAATAACATAAAAAAGCAAGTTAAAAGTAATTTGAGGTATTAAGTTACTGTTTAGTTGCATGCATCAAATATTTGTCTTTTCAGAAAAAAAATTTTCTTCTTTTTTCGTAGCAACCCTTACAGAAATTTCTGATAAGTGACTTATAAGTGCTTTATTCTTTTACTTATAAGTTGTTTATTCTGGACTTACACTTCACTGATACATTTAACTTATAAGTGACTAATAAGTTACTCATTAGGATTTTATATGCAAATGAGCTGCTTGACCTATAGGTGACTATAAGTGACTTATAAGCCTGTATTAGCCACTTATGCTTTATGCAAGTATAGTCACTTATAAGTGACTATAAGTGACTTATAAGTGACTATAAGTGACTTATAAGTCAAGCATTAACCCTTCATACTTTATCAAGTATTAGTCACCTATAAGTCATCTATAAGTCACTTATAAGTAAAGTACAACACTACCTATAAGATCTTAATTTAGAACAGAACTTCCAACCATGCAGGGGTTGCATGATATGTTCAAAGCTATCTTTTAGATATAAACATGAATCTGCACTTTAGATGAAATAATCAAGTAAAAAATGAATAAAAAATCCCTTTTATATGACATTTCTTTGATGATGCAAACTTAACATATTAATTCAGTTTACAAACAAAAATGTTAAACAAAAAGGCAACAGATTAAATGACCTTGAGACTTCTTCAAATTTATGAAATCTGAAAGCAACTAAGTCAATTGATTCAAAATTTCAGGCAAAGGAAGTTAAAATAGAGAGATGATGTAAATAGAACCTACTTGTTGTACCTGATGTGAAGGTATCTCAAAATAAATCTAAAATCTCCAACATCCTTTCACAGACACAAACTTGGTTTCAAATTCTTGTTGCTGATCTCTGGAGAGACAGACTTTCTGATTGGCTACCTTGAATACCCATAGTGCTCCTTGAGAGAAGTCTAGTATAGGGTAAAAATTCTAAGTCCACACTTATACTCGCTCATACCATACTATTCTTCACTTATAAGTGAGGTATAAGTGAAATATTCATTGATATGTAGCTCATCTTTACTTATAAGTGAAGTATTAACAAAATCTGTTCCCCACTTATACTTACTTTGACTTATAGTACACTTATAAGTAAATTTCAAAATTTATAAGTGACTTATAAATTGCTTATAAGTGGATTATAAAACACTTATAAGTTTCTATTAGTTTTTTCTGTAAGGGAACACAAAAGTTGATGCATATATGTGTGTGAACAGATGTTAAATGATATAATAATTCAATCTGACTATAAAGACACCCTAAGGCTTATACATAGAAAAACATATCACAAATCAATATTTCTTATACAAACCTTAATAGGTAGAGAGAGTACCGTGTATCAATTAACACATGCTAAAAATCAAAATCTGTTTTTACCTTATATCTACACAATTGCAAATTCTTACAATGAACAATGTCCTAAAATTGAGAAATTAATTGGGATTTTAATTAATGATGGTAAGAAAGGGGGGACGGGATACAGCTTAGATTTACCTTGTGCGTTTTTATGTAGCCATTTGGTTTTGATGCATGTTTTATTTGATGTGTGTACAAATGTAGGCCTTCATTTCATCTTGTCATTTCCTTGTTGATCACTATTAATGTTCACTCCGTGCCTTGTTTATGGCATGGTCATATAGAACCTGAAATCTCTTCATTCTGAGGGCATTCCTTTAGAAATTGGAACTGACACAGTGTATGCGTTATTGAGACAATCAACATGAGGAATTATCTGAAGGAATTTACCTGTTTAGGAGTATTTCATAAACTGGTCAGTATGAAGTACTGGATTAATTATTTGCTTTGATATATTTTGCTCTTCCTTTTTCTGGCTTAAATCCAGTAAAACACATAGTATTACATGTATGGAATGTCAATGAATTTAAATGCAAGCTTATATCCACATTACAGATAGGTGTGGTCAGCAAGCAACATTACATGTATTTGTGTTAGTCCTTGTAAGTCACTCAAATCAGTCATGGCAGACTGGCAACAGCCATTGTAAACTGACAGTCAATTATTTAATGAAAATTACTCCCAACATATTTTTAATGCAGGGGTCACAGATGTTGTCCACAGAAAGGTCATGAGGTCAAAGAAGGGCAGCTGGGCCAAGTCCCGAGAGAAAGGTCATCTGGGGTCAACCCTGGAGGAGCAGCCCCTGCGGTCCTTTAACAGCCAATCAGCCAGGGACCAGTTCAGTGATGCTTGGAACACAGATTCTGATGACGAGCTCTCCTGGGATGAGGACATTGAGTACAGGTCATGTGAGTACACAAAAAGTGATGATGTCATATCAATGTACTAAAATAGTTTATATTTATGATACAGTGTGTTGAAAATGATGCAGCACACAGGTGTATTAATTGTGATACACATAGGAACTAAAAGTGTTACTATCACTATGATAAGATCTACTATATTGGAAGATTCATCAGAATTATTTCAGCTCTTCAAGGATATAATGAAAAGAAGCAGTTTTGATGATGTCATTTTGGAGTGAATAGATTTATTGTGATGTCATTGATGATGTCACCAACATCTGCTTTCTGGAGAAAAAGAAGGAAATGCAGGATTGTAGCTTGAGCTGAGAAATATGGCTAATGTAAGTATAAACCTTTATTTTTCATAAATCAAACCGTTATTTCATAGTCTTGAAAGACTTAGATAAAATTGAAACATTAATATTGTCCTAAAAAATTCAACATTAATATTGCCATTAAAATTTGTGCCTAAATTTAGCTGAAATATTGCCAACACTGCAATAATAAGCTATTATTCCAATAAATTCTACTGCTTTTGAACCTTAAGAATTTGACAAAATAGACTAAGGGGCATAAAACAAAGTCACTTTTAAAAAAAAAAATCTGTATAAATGAAATTGCAAGAAAAAAGAAAGGCACCAGTGAATTTGAAGATGAATGAAAGTGAATACTGGGTATAATTTTAAAGTTATATTGATCAGGAGTAGGGGGCGTGTCCTATATGTGACATTTACATGAAGTGAAAATTGGATATTTACAAACTAAATCCATAATAGTTAGTGTTCACTGTTCCTCAATCATTACAGTAATTACTGTAAATTATCAAGGTTACCACAGACAAGGCCATGTTTATGTTAGATTATCAGCCATTATCGTATAATTTCCGCCATTATATGGAAATTATGAATCAATGCGTGGTATAAATCATTAAGAAATTAAGATGAAAATGATGAGTGGGGAAAAATTATGAATGACTCGAGAATGCTAAAGTAAACTACATTAATAAAACAATAATAAAACATTTAATATTTGTCCCTCTATGAATTGCTCGCTTCATGGCAAAGTGGTGGAGCATCTGTTCTAGAGTCACGGAATTAAGAATTTATCCATACATTGCTGGTTTTGATTTCACTGTGGGCTGTGGAGATCGGTCCTTCGGAGGAGACCAATTACAAACCAAGGTCCCGTCTCGCGTCACAGTAGGTGCTGGTACTTAAAAGATTTCCCACTGCTCAGATGCCACAAGAACTGAGTATATAAGGACAAAATGTGTAGTTCTCCAAAATAAATTCTTGAGAGGGGCTATTTATAAAACTGCAAACAAACAAAATATTTGTCTTTGTCAGATAGTGTAATATATATCATTTAAATTAATTGAATATGTGATTTTAAATAGTTTTAAATTAATTAATGAAAAGTGTAATCGGGTGTTGAACAGTTGATTGACCTTTAGACTTGAAATACATGTATAGTATTTTTGTCATTTTGTCAGTACATTGTGAAGTTATAAGAGTTGTTTCCCTTTAATGGTAAATGCAACAATTTCTAACAAGTACATGCTCTCATTGATGAGAGGGAAAATCTCTCTCTTCTACTGTTTGACTCTGTCTCATAAAATTTTCAATTGACATTTTTGCTGTGTTTGGAATTACCTCTAATAATGTTGATACTTTCACATTTGTCAAAATTCACAAACTCCGGCCTCCCCTGCCCACATTCCTTGATCTGAGGTAGATATAATTTTCAATTGATATTTCTTCTGAGTGGGTTATATCACTAGATAAGTTCTCCCAAACAATAAGATTGTTGCATGGTTTTTCACTCCCATGTTTTCCGGGCCCCCGACTTGATTTCTATCTCAATCCTGATTCGTAGTTAACTTAGGAATTATGTTTCCGTAGTTATCTTGTACCTGTCATCATTATAAGCCATTGTCATGGCGATGATCTAATGCATTATGGAGATTTTTTTTGGTTATTTATCCGACACACATAAAAATCACTGAATTATAGGCTGTAATTTAAAATCACATTGGAGAGCGGATAAATGGAACATTAAAAGTGTCTCGGGGCATTTTGCTTATAATAATGCATTTTCCTCTTCATAAAGCTAGTACATTTGTATATAACCAATGAATGCATTCACATATAAACTTTGTTGACTAAATGTTATTTTCTGAAAGTTAGCGAAACTACATCCATGGATCTAACCTTTACAGCATGTAGTTGACTTAAGTATTAAATATGAAGGAATATAAAACATGGGTAAGTGACAATTCATGAAATTGTACTATTTTAGTCATATTGTCGATTTAAATTTTTATTTCTATTAATTACTCCTGACATTTAAACTTAATTTCCTTTTTTTAGTAATATGCTTTTTAGTTTAAAAAGGATAATTACTAAAAAATAAAATATGATTTTGATTTAATTAGCAACATTTTGCAGGAATTTAATATTTAACATGTTCATATTTAAGTGCAATTGTATGAAGTTTTTTTTTTTATATTTATTCTTTAAATTGAATTTTTAAAAAAATTGAAATAAAGATTACAGTTTTTTCTTGTCTTTTTTTTTTTGTGCTTTCCTTTTTTTTTTTAAATGAATGATTCATAGCAAAAGTTTGTTACTTTAATTTTTTTCAAAGTGAGCCCAAAAAAGGTGCTTTCATAATGTTACAAAATTTTGAAAGGGAGGTGGGGTCAACTCTGAGTTAAAATATACTTGACACGGTCAAAGTGGTCAAATATTTCACATTACAAAAGAGATAGATAAATCAGCTGATAAATAAAAGTACAGAACAGGACAGAGTTGGACATGGTTTGCTGGCTTTATAAGTTTCCGGTTCACTGACCACACTACTGTATAAACATTTTGGCAATGGCTGCAAGTGAATGAAAAAGTTCAGTGTGATTTGTTCAGGGTTTGTTCTCTTAAGGAATTCAAAAATAGTTTTAAATGTAAGTGAGACACTGTACTAAAACATATAGCTATCAATAATAATATATCTGTTACTCAGAAACCTGTTGAAATTGACTTTTTTTAATGGGTACATCAGCAAACATGAATGTGGATATATAGGTATTTTACAGATATGTAATTTAAACCCTCTCCTCTCAAGTCATGCATTAAAAACTGAAGGCTTTCAAATATTCAAAATGATTTTCCTTATATCCGGTTATGTATGTGGCAGGTATGTTGTGCAAAATGTATATTTATTAATCTGAGACCATTAACAGTATACAAGTGTCATTTTCACCTGTTTATGTACAAATAATGTAGTAAACATTGTCATGAGGTGGATCAAGGATTTGTGAAAAAGGGAGGTGGGTATAGAGATATCCAGTACAAGTTCGTTTGAGGGCAGTTTTTTCCCCGATATCCTCATACCATGAGTATAAATACAAGTTTCAAAGTGTATGGTGTAATTATGTTAAAAAAGGAAGTGCTTTTGAGCTCTATTCCGATGTAAAACAAAATTTCAGAAAAGATCTCTAATTTCAAGTTGTCTATTAAAATGCTATAATTCTCCTCTGACTTAAAGTATTTAATAGTGTGTATTATACTTTTTAGGTCACCTGAGTAAACTCAGGTGACCTATTGCTATCTGTTTTCGTCCGTCGTCGTGCGTCGTGCGTCGTCCGTTAACATTTGAACATTTTCAGCTTCTTCTCTGCAACCACTGAACCAATTTCAACCAAATTTGGCACAAAGCATCTATGGGTAAAGGGGAACAAAAATTGTGAATTTCATGGTCCCTGCCCCCCTGGGGCCTGGGGTGTGGGGCAAAAACCACTAAAATTAGTGCAATCTTAAAATATTTTCTTCTTTACTCCTGGACATCAAGCAGTTAAACTGTTTGAATGATTGTAACCAGCATTGAGTCCTCTACCAAAATTGTGAAATTTATGGCCCCAGGGTCAGGGGTTCTAGTGCTAGGGTGGGGCTAAATAAGTATATAGTGAAAATGCATTATTTCTTTGAAAATCTTCTTCTCTGCTCCTGGGTATTAAATAAACTAACTAAGTGCATAGTTATGACGAGCAAGAGTGCCTCTACCAACATTGTTAATTTTATGGCCCCAGGGTCAGGGGTTCTAGTGTTAGGGCGGGGCTCTATAGATTATATAGTGAAAATTCATGAATTCTTTGAAAATCTTCTTCTCTGCTCCTGAGTATTAAATAAACTAACTAAGTGCATAGTTATGATGAACAAGAGTGCCTCTACCAAAATTGTGAAATTTATGGCCCCGGGGTCAGGGGTTCTAGTGCTAGGGTGGGGCTAAATAAGTATATAGTGAAAATGCATTATTTCTTTGAAAATCTTCTTCTCTGCTCCTGAGTATTAAATAACTAACTAAGTGCATAGTTATGATGAGCAAGAGTGCCTCTACCAAAATTGTGAATTTTATGGCCCCAGGGTCAGGGGTTCTAGTGTTAGGGCGGGGCTCTATAGATTATATAGTGAAAATTCATGAATTCTTTGAAAATCTTCTTCTCTGCTCCTGAGTATTAAATAAACTAACTAAGTGCATAGTTATGATGAACAAGAGTGCCTCTACCAAAATTGTGAAATTTATGGCCCCGGGGTCAGGGGTTTTAGTGCTAGGGTGGGGCTAAATAAGTATATAGTGAAAATGCATTATTTCTTTAAAAATCTTCTTCTCTGCTCCTGAGTATTAAATAAACTAACTAAGTGCATAGTTATGATAAGCAAGAGTGCCTCTACCAAAATTGTGAATTTTATGGCCCCAGGGTCAGGGGTTCTAGTGTTAGGGCGGGGCTCTATAGATTATATAGTGAAAATTCATGAATTCTTTGAAAATCTTCTTCTCTGCTCCTGAGTATTAAATAAACTAGCTAAGTGCATAGTTATGATGTGCAAGAGTGCCTCTACAAAAAATGTGAAATTTATTGCCCCGGGGTCAGGGGTTCGTGTTAGGGTGGGGCTCTATTGATTATATAATGGAAATACATGACTTCTTTGAAAAAATTTCTTTTCTGCTCCTAGGAATTAAATAAACTAAGTACATAGTTATGATGAGCAAGAATATCTCTTCCAAAATTTTGATTTTATGGCCCTAGGGTCAGGGGTTCTAGTGATAGGGTGGGGCTCTATTGATTATATAGTGAAAATACATTAAATCTTTGAAAATTTTCTTCTCTGCTCTTGGGTATTAAGCAGATGATCTACCTATGTAGTTATGACGAGCAAGGACCCTAATCTTCCAGAATTGTGAATTTCAAGGCCCCAGGGTCAGGGGTACCATAGGAGGGGGTGTACTTATATACTGAAACTGGATGAATTGTTTGAGATCTGCTCCTTGGTATTAATCAAATATTTTTGAAAAGCAAGGGTGCCTTTTCAAATATTGTGCAATGTGTGGATCTAGGCCTAAGGGTCAGGGGTTCATGTGTGATAGGGGCATTACTGATTATTGCTGAATATTACTGATTACTTGAAATGCATTTTTTTTGTTCCCCCACCCTGCCTATGGGTATTAAGTAAACAAACTAAGCAACTGCTAAGTTATTGTTATGATGATCAAATGGTGCCTCTTTCAAAATTGTGAATGCCATAGCATCTTGCTTAAAACATTAATCAAATTAAATCGCTGGAAAGTTGTTGCATAATGCTCAGGTGACCTATAAGGCCCATGGGCCTCTTGTTGTACATTAAGTCCTACACACCAATCTGCACAAACTTGCATACATGCATTTTCTCATTTATACTTGTGAATCAACACTTTCTTTGTAGCATAGGGTGTTTCTAAAACGCCTGCAACACCTTTTAATTGTCACTGACATGTGGAAATGTAAATTTATCTGTTCTAAAATCGAGAATGCATAAAAATTGCACACAGCATGTTCAGTTGTTTTTTTTTAAATTGCACACATATCCCATCAATATGTTGCCATTGTAGCATCTTCATGTAAGCACATATTATGATAAAAGGAAAAGGGATCAATAAAAATATAAACTGCATATGTATTTTGTTTGATCTGCAATCAAGTTCGATATATGTATTGAAATTGGTGTTGTTTTTTTTTATGTTTTTTTTTTTTTTATTAATAATTATTTAATTGTTTGAATTTTCTTCAGAGAATTTAATCCCTTAAAAATTAGTAGCCTGAGAAATTTCTTTGCTTAACAGAAATTTAATGTTTATTATTAGGCTTACATTTTCAATGTCTTTCTGTAGTTTTATTTGTTGTTTAAGAATCTTTCACTCTTTTTTTGAGAAGCCACTATTCCACACAATTCTAAAGGAAAATGCCCTGACTGGTGTTCTACTCGAGCAACTATTCTATATAGTTAGGAGGTTTGTGATTTCTTGAAAAATGTTAAGGGAAGGGTGAAGGGGGGGGGGGGGGGGGTGGGCAGATGCCCAATTGATAAAGGCTTAACTAGCACTTGGAAAGGTCTTTTATATGAACTCTGTAATTTAGTGACATAGGATTGTTTTTTCCCGAAACTTAAATGACACTCAGCACTCAGTTATACTAAATATTAAATTTGTTGACTGTTAGCTATTGCACCAGATGTTGATTATTTTCTGACATACACCATAAAGTCTGTCACATCGTGTTATTCATTAATAGCTGTATATCCTGTACTGTAGAATACAAAATTGTATGCATCAAAATGACTACGGTTATTAAAAATATGTGAAAGGGAATTAATTGTTATTTATTGGTAAGGCATATGTTTTTTTTTTTTTAATGCAGGAATGAAGGTATTTCAGTCTTGTCTTTGAAGATATAGGTTAAGACTTTAAGACTGATAAACATATACCCCGGTACTAGATGTATATTTAAACAGATTTTTCCTGCAAAAAAGATATAAATTATTAATAGTTAATTTGCATGTACATGTCCCAGTCTTATGATCAGCAGGGCTGGCCTATTTTTCATACTGGCCTCATTATCAGATTATGCATACATTGTGCACATAGTTTTCATATTGTTTGTACTAATTTAGTGGTATCACCATGATAATCTTCCAAAATACATGTCTTCTAATTTGTTTTTTGCAGTTCATCACGCCATGATTGTCTTGCATGTCGAAGAATCATCAAGGGGACATAACTTTGTACAGAAAACATGACAGACTCGGACAAAACTCCGATTATAAACACTACAGACAAATCAGACTTAGAGAAAGCTCGTAACAGGATGATTGCTGAGGGATACCGTTACCGGGCGATAGACGACAACCTGTCAGGAAGTGATTCCGATGAGGGTAAAACTAGTAAACAGGGAGGAATAATTGGGGGAGAGAGTAATGTACTGGAGATATACATTTATACTGTAGTCTGTAACATTGATGATGGGTATAAAAGTGTAGAAAATGGTCAGAGTTTTGGGGGATGGGGGAGAGGGAGTTGGGTTTCGTCAGTTTTTTGCCTGGAAGCAATTATTGTTCACTGACAATGGTAATTCAAGGTAATACGTAATATACTTGTAGTAAATAGGAAAGAATGTTTTGGGGACACTGTTGTTAATCAGATTTTAGTTCAACCATTACATGTAAGATAGGGTATTCCCTGGCTAATGGGAAAAAAACACTACACCATATAAATGATTTACACTCTCTTGGATTCTAAAGTTTTTCATCTATAAAAAAGTACTAAAAACTAGTAAGAGTTGACATTTAAATTACATTTTAAGTGCATTGATTATTATTAAATTGAACTGCAGTAAAACATCTGAAACAAATGCAAAGGAAGTGCAAATCACCAAATTTAATGATCTCATATAATGTACTGACAAAAATCCCTCCAATGAATCTGTTTTAGCTCAAATATCTGCCATTTGATGTGAATTAAATTTCGCATTTCAGGAAATTCAGAATTAAAAATCTATGTTTTTAAATTGGAATGCACCCAATAAATTGTATAGCTTTTTATATCAATGCTCAATAATCCAATCAAATTTAACCCTAGGCACCAATGAAGTGCAAGTAATTGTCTGGTTTGCCAGACCGTGGGATTGTTTATAACCTTGTAAGGAATTATCCGCAGGTGATTCTCTTCTGTTTATGTGGCTCCTGTGCAGTATAACATAAGTACAATGTCAATTAACCAATATTGAAAGTCGTAGCTTAAAGTGGGAAAATGTTATTGTATTGCAGCTTCGATGAAAGTATTAATTAATATGAAATATATGGAGATAACAATCAGTATTCAAGCTAAAAAGTCCTTAAAACGATACAAAATTGGACTTCCAAAACACCAGATCAGGTGCCATTGAGGAGTGAGCATCCCTAGGAATGGCCATTTTTGAGGGGTGGGGAATGTCAGAGTTGATAACTAACCTCAGACCATGTGATTTAAATCAAAGGAAAACAAGAGGTTCAAAGTCTGTTGATTGATAGGAAAATCTGTGTGCTGCATCATTGTAACAAATATTTTGTTAAGCTGTTTCCCAGAATTATGACAAAATACAGAAGTTGTATATAGTATTTTATGCTAATTAAAGTACATTTTGTTACAATTTTTACATGTAATACATATATGTTACATTACAATTTATTTAACACAATTATTACAGATTGTTTTAAATATATGTGTCACTGATTTTACACTTTGCTATGTCAAGTTTTATATGCAATACTAAGTGAATGCAGTATATAATAAATATGTTACATCTTTCACAGACACAGTGAAGAAGAGGAAAAATGGTAGGCAGGCTTTATCACAGAGGTGTATCGTCATACTCCTAGGACTGGCTGTGATAGTTATAGCAGTGTTAACCGGGCTCATTGTATGGCAGCATCTACAGAAATCCAATTATCAAAAGGTAAATTGATTGATTGATTGATTGCATATTGTTCAACATCCCTCAAGAGAATATTTCACTCATATGGAGTAGCCACCACTTGCTGGTGGAGAGCTACAAATTTCTGTCCTACATGTATACTCTGCACTCAGGGCCATTGAGCAGTGAGGAATCTTTTTTCGTGCCAGCACTTACTGCGACATGGGACCTCAGTTTATACGGTTTCATCGGAAGAACTGGTCTTCTTGTCTCACAGTGGGATATATCAAAAGGTAGAAAGCTTCTGTCAACAAACTAAGTATAACCAGCACAAATAATCCTTATCATGTCCATTTTCCTATTTGTGATTAGCACAAAAGTCTCAAAGAAACTATTCAAAAACTTTGTATAAAAATTTGTATCTTATAAGTGGTTGATATATTGGTCAGGTGAAATCATGTCGAAGAAATTGTGATTGAGACTTTCAAGGCACTATGGCATACTGTATGTGTACTTAAAAAAAATTAAAGCAGGTTACATTTACTTAAGCAGCTTTGGCGCAGACAACTATGTGGCGTATGTGCTAATTCATGAATACAGCTAAGAAATCAATTATGAATACAACACATGGTGCGTAAGTGTGCAGCACTAATTCATTGAAATGCCAACAACTCAATATCCAGTGATTGCACTACATTTTGTTTCAGAACACACCTATATAGTATGTACATGTACCTATGGTTATTAATTTGAGATGTTGATTCTTTTAGAGACACCATAGTTCAACTACACTGGCATCTTCTGTACTTAGTCTAAAACTTTATTGATATGTTTGTTTTTCTCTATTCCTGGTACAGACCTGGGTACATAAATGTGTGAGTTTTTGAGTACAGCATTTGTAGATACAGTTGAACTTGGATGTCTCGAACATTGATATCTCGAATACAGTGGATATGTAGAAGTGATTTTGAAGTCCCAAGCTCTTATGTCTTAAGTATTTTACCCTCAATATCTCCAATCCTCGAATATCTTGAAGTATTATCTCAGTCCCATCAAGCTTGAGTTAAGGAAGTTTGACTGTATTTACTTTACTGTACCACTTATAGCCCTGATTGTGTACAGTTAGCAACTGCCTAGGTTAGGGTTAACAGTTTTTGTAGATCCTTATTTACTGATCTGATTTTTTGTGACAGACCTGCTCTACCCCAGACTGTGTCCAGTCCAGTGCCTACATAATGAGTAAGATGGACCGGTCCGTGGACCCGTGCCAGGACTTCTATCAGTATACATGTGGGAACTGGTTAAAGACAACCAAAATCCCAGCCTCCCGATCCCATTACAGCTTGTTCTCTGAGATAGGGGACCAGAACAACGAAAAAGTTAGAGCTGTAAGTAGTAAGAAATCAGTGCAGGTGTACTAAAAAGACAGTTTCTCATAAATACAGTGTGACCTGACTAATCCGACATGCACAGGACACTGGGAGCTGGATTTTGCCAGAATAGGCATGGTATCGGATTGCAAAGTTTTAAAAAAAAAACATGCAAAGTTAAATGTGGGAATTCACAGTGTGTTGGATTGCATGGGTATCTGATTAGACAGTTTTAACTGTATTGCTCTTTCCTTGGACAAAAATATCAGTGACAACTTTGAAGAGTTGGTCAATAAAAAAGTGAAACATTTTTTTGTTCAAACAAACTCACAAAAATAAAAGTAATGCATATTGTCTGTTATATTTATTTGTTTATTTGAATCACTTGAAACTTTAGATACTGGAGAAAAGTGGTACAACTTTCATGAACAACCATTCCACAGCCATAGAGAAAGCCAAAACATTTTACAACTTATGTATGGATGAGAAAACCATAGAAAATCAAGGGGTGGATCCAATAATTAAAGTGAGTGTGAAAGCCATGAGAGATGCAATGGGCCTTGGTGCCTTTCAGGCCTTGGCTTCATTATAATGTGGTACATGTATGATATAATACTGTGTTAATTCTCATTTACTCTCCTTATAAAAGTAAGGTACAGATTATGCCTTAATCTCCATTTACTTCCAACAGTCAAGTCATGCTTATTCTCTCATTTTCTCTACACAGTACCATCGGTTTAAATCTCCATTTATTCTCTAAAGTAACTTTCAATCTCCATTTACCCTCCATAATAAAATGAGTGCCATTCATTTCTATTTTCAGTTTATAGCTGACCTCCATTCCTGGCCATTGACCTCAGCCCATGGTCTGACCTGGTCTGAGGCATCATGGGATTTTCACACAGCCCTAACAACCAATCACGCTAAAGGATTCGAGGCCCTGTTTAGTATGGGTGTGGCAGTGGATGACAAAAATAGCAGTCAATATGTTATAGAAGTAAGGTTATAAATTGGAATCATTATACCCTGCTCTGAAGGGAATATACTGTTTTACACTTGCTTGTCTGTCCATCTCTCTGTTTTCACAAAGTAAGTAACATTATATGAAAATTCGTATAAATACATGATTGTTTCTATATATTAAATATGAATCATTAAATCATTCGAATATCTTAACTTCCGAAAATTTACATTCATAGTTCGCTGTTACTTGTTTCCTTTGGAATTGTTCACAACAGAAATACTTGTTTTGTTCAAGCATGGGAAAAAAATTTATTCTGATTAGGGACAATTTTGCGTTTAATTACAAATAAATGATTTTTTTTCTTTTCAGTTTACACAAAGTGGTCTTTCTCTAGCTTCTCGAGAGGAATATTTTACAAACCACTCCAGTTATCAGAAGATAAAGAAAGGCTTCCTGGATTTCGGTGCCAAATTAGGGAATCTGTTAGGGGGTGATAACTCCACATTGTGGTCAGGAATGTCTGATATCTATAGTTTAGAGACACAGCTGGCTAATGTAAGTTACAGCATCATTTATTGTTACAAAAAATCAGGTTCCTGTTTTCAGGAAAATTTATTCCCCAATAGTATGGAGGCCAGTTTCATTCTTAAGTTATTTCATGTGGGCTAATTTCAAACTGTATGTAAGTGAATTAGACATGTCAAAATTGTTTGCAAAAGCATGAAAGATTGGAAAAAACATGGTGGCAAAGATATTTAATATGGTGTTGGATAAATCTAAAGCAACTCCTACTCGATGAACATTGATTTAAACGAAATTGAGTGAGATATTGAGTATGGATCCATCATGCATGGTACATGTACCATACCCCCCTCCCTTGCTACCCTCTTATGTCATCCATCACTGTCTTCTTCCTTCTTATTGTTTATATTCAAGGGGAGACAACAGCTAATAATGCCCATTTTTTGTGTACCCACTGTTACATGCATTTTTTTGGGCATTAATGGATTACAACTTTGATATCTGTGATAAAAACACTTGAAACACTTACATTTGTAAAAGAACTCATTAATTTGATCTTGTTTATTTTAGATACATGTTCCAAAGGAAGAATTACTAGATCCTACCAAGACATATCATAAAATGACAGTCTCAGAGTTCCAGACTCTGATTGGTTCATCTGTAAGTTGACTTTTGTTTTCATTGGTTCCTTTTTAGTAACTTTTATTCCCATTGGTTCATTAAATACTGTAAACCAACTTATATTTGCGACGACTTTATTTTGCGATTTACTAGTTCGTGACGATTAATTTTCGCAATCAAGCCTTTTTGAATCTGTTGTTAATAGAGACTATAAGGACCAGTTCATGCCGAGAAATATTCGCGATGATGAGGCTCTCGCAAACGTTGCGAAAATTTCTCGCAAGCGAATAAAAGTTCGTTTTACAGTATTTACAGATACATTTGAAGTGTGGTATCTCCAACATTAATATCTTGCATACCATGGAGGTGTCAAAGTGATTCTGTAGTCTCGGATGTTAGTTTCTTATATACTACAAATCTTTGGATATCTTAAAGTAGTTTCATCAATTTCAAGAAGCCAGGTTTGACTGTATACAGTTAATTATACCCCTGCTCTGAAGGAGAGGGGGGTATACTGTTTTACCCTTGTGTGTCTGTCTGTCTGTCTAGCTGTCTGTCTGTAACAAATTTTCGTGGCATTTTTCTCAGCAACTACTCATTGTAGATGCTTGAAATTTTAACACAATCTTCTCAGAGGCATGCCATATGGTGGGATGCATTTTTGCTCAAATCCGAAGTCAACTTCCTGTTTGTCTGTTCGTCTGTCCGTTTTATACATAACAAATTTTCGTTGCAGTTTTCTCAGCAACTACTCAACGTAGATGCTTGTAATTTTAACACAGTCTTATCTGAGGCATACCATATGGTGGGATACATTTTTGCTCAAATCCAATGTCAACTTCCTGTTTGTCTGTGCGTCTGTCCGTTTCATACATAACAAATCTTTGTAGCAGTTTTCTCATTAGCTATTCATAGCAGATGCTTGAAATTTTATTACCGACTTTGTTGGGGCATGCCATATGGTGGGTGTAATTTTGATATGAATCTGATGTCAACTTCATCTGCCTGTAATTGAACTTGTGTAAACAGTATATTAACATGATAGTGCTTATTTACATCAGAGCGGGGGTATTACTAGTGAGCATTGGCTCACAGATTTCTTGTTAATTACTAACTGCTAATTATTAATTTTCAGATAAAGGTGGCCCAGTACCTGAAGACTTTGTTTGGGAGGGACCTGGGGGACGTAGCTGTTTTGGTTTACACCCCCAAGTACTTCAGAGAGTTGGGAGGGGTTCTGGATAAAACTCCTAAAAGGTATCTCAGGATTATAAATTTTTAGAAGAACATGATAAAGCATTGATTTAATCACAGTTTGACTAATCAATCAGTCTTATACATTCACACTTCCTAGGTACGTGGAATTCTTGAGACGGACAAGTACAATCAATCAATCAATCAATCTTAGATATGTGCCATTTATAAATGTTATTACATTCTTGGTATTTTCTGAAGGATAAAAGACCACTGTAATAGTTTATTGTGTAAATTAGCGCTTAGACCTTAATAGGCCTTTTTTCTTTTTTTGTTATCAAGTTGTATAACTGTGGCGGATCCAGAGGGGGGTTGGGGGTTAGAACCCCCCTTTCTTTTTTGCCAAGTGGAGAAAGAGAGAGAGTGAAAGAGATAGGAGTTAAAAAATTTTCAGAGAATAAATATTTATATGTCTAACTTATGTATTGAATACTAGATATATTCTCACACATTTAGTTTTCTCCATTCACCTTCAATATTACTTTTTTTATGAAAGAATGGTAGAAAATATTCTACTTACTTTTATATACAGTGGAGCCTCATTTATCCGGATGCTTTGGTTCCTAGTCAATTTGTCCGGATATGTGAAGCGTCCGGATACATGAATCACCAGTTAAACAAGACAATATAACATTTGCAAACATCGTCCCGATGAAAAATCGTACGGATACTGAAGCATCCAGATATCTGGGGTCCGGATATCTGAAGGTCCACTGTATCTTACATATGATATGTAACATCCAAGGTTTAATTTGATATTAGATTCCCGCGATCTTAAGCTGCATGTGGTGGCTATCTAATGTGCCATATTTTTATTATATCTTTCGAAGGAACCAACATGAAACTCTTTATTTTAAACCTCAACTGCACCCCACCCCCCAAAAATTTTTCAAATTCTGAAAGAAAATTCTTTGTAATCTTCGGAAATGCAGCAAATCCATTCAATTTTTAGGCTTCAGTAGTTTTTGAAATGTGTTTCAGACTGGGGGTACTTTTTCAAAGAAAAAAGGGACCGAAAACAAAGATATTTACCACAACCTTAGATCTTTTCATACGTGTGTTTGAGTCTTTGCTTGAGAGTGTGTAGGGGGTGGGGGTTAAAGGGACACAACCCTGGAACTCTCCCCTTTCAAAAATGGCTGGATCCGCCCTGTATTAATTGATTAATATTAATCAAGTTGATCTCATTTTGCTAGAATTGTTTGATTCCGCAGTACAATTAAGGTGCGCAATGGAAATATTGACTAAATTTTGTATTTAATAATGTATTCGTAATCTGGATGAAGATTATTATTTGAACATTATTTATATCAGATAATTGTAATTATGATTAATAACTATATATCGAGGACGATTATATTTTATATTCAGACTAGTCACGTGATGCCGCAGTCACACGATTTTAGCACATTGACTTGAAGTATTGATGTTACATATAAATATCACTAGTGCAAGGGCATAACAAAGTTAAACTTCCAAGTTTAGTGTATAAATATTTTCAACACGCATTGTTGTTTCTAAAAGTGCTGCGATCCTGTCTAAATTCTGCAATTTCATTGTTAAAATTATACTTCTATGACTGAATGTTATATTTTTTCTGGTCAGCGGCATGAAATATTGATATATTAATTAAATTGATTTTAAGATTTCATCGGGATTGCAGCACTTTTCAGGTACCTTAATAGTTCTGTTGTTGAAATATAAAAGCTTACTTTGATCCATAGAGTGTATGCCCTTGCACTAGATCGATTTATTAAGACCCCCCACATTACCCTCCGATGTACTTGCATACAAATATACGGCAGTGTCAATTAAATGCGTGATGTACAGAAAATATTTTAATAATATTTATTAGTGAAGAAGACATTAAATTCAAGTTATTGGCCCATAGAATATCTGTAAATCATATTTTATTTAATTAGAGAAAACATATTTTGTTGAGAAAGTATTACTTGATTTGTCTCTCACTGCATACAAACTACATCACGTTGTACAGTAAGAAATGACGTCATATTGACAAGTGTATTGCTATCAGTGACTTGTTTATAACTTGTTATGTGGGATTTAACTAACGACAAAACAAAACGCTGTTGTAAGTTTTTATGTAGGTTGATGATTTTTTACTGGTTAAATTAGCAGATAAACTTATTTTGTGGCATTTTAAAGAAATGTAGATCTATGACGTATATTGTGTATGATGTCATAGTCAAGTTTTCCCGTACAAATAAGGCTCCGCCTCCTTTTTGTAACCTTAACTGTGCTGCGTCAACAATCTTCATTACCACCAGATATGACTTGCATATTTTACTTGTAAAAATTATAAATGATATAAATTATCACCAATTACTTTAGCATTGTATAGCAATGAGCTATATTTTTATTTGGCCAGGACTTTAGCCAATTACATAGTGTGGAATGCCCTGAACTCCCAGGTGGGGTATTTCCCGGCTGATTTTGTGGAGGCTGCCCTCCTTTTGAGTAAGGTGGAGAGTGGAATCCAGGGGCTGGACCCCAGGTGGCAGCGCTGTATCAACAAGGTCAACACTGCGTTTGGGTTTGCCTCTAGCGCCCTCTATGTTCAGGAGTATTTTGCCAAGGACAGTAAATCTAAGGTAAATGGTAGTAGTTTTGAATTTTTGACCTTAAGCCAAATATTTTTATGCCCCGCCATGAATATGGCCAGGGCATATAGTGTTTGTCATGTTCGCTTCCGTCCTTCTGTTCTTCCATCCTTCCAGCCTTCCGTCCTTCTGTCTTTCCGTCACACTTTGTGTTTAGCTCTGTTCAAAGCTAAGTTTCAAAGAAACTATCCAAGATATTTTCGTCAAACTTCATATTCTGATAGATATTGATGAGAGATATGCAACTGCATCAACATTTTTCGAACTTGACCTGTCCTTTGACCTTGACCTCACTTTTCTTAAATTAGTGTTTAGCTCAGTTTTAAACATACTATTCAAAATGGTGTTATCAAACTTCACATGTTGAAACAAACTTTCACGGATGATGCATCTAGGGATGAACACTACCAGACTTGCTTCGGATGCTGGATCTGACCTACATTTTCCAGATGAGTGACCAGGTTAAAGTTATGGAGCAGGTCCATTCCTTAGGTACTATAAACCCTACTTGGACCAAACTTGCATGGATGATGCATCTATGGATGGACACTTCCAGACTTGCCTCGGATGCTGGATCTGACCTACATTTTCCAGATAAGGGACCAGGTTAAAGTTTTTGGAGCAGGTACATTCCTAAGGAACTATAAGCCCTACTTGGACCAAACTTTCATGGATGATGCATCTATGGATGGACACTACCAGACTTGCTTCAGATGCTAGATCTGACCAACATTTTTATTCCCAAGTAACCATAAGCCCAACTTGAACCAAACTTGCATGGATGATGCATCTAGGGATGGACACTACCAGACTTGCTTCGGATGCTGGTCTGACCTATATTTTCATTCCCAAGTAAGTATAAGCCCTGCCTAAACCAAACTTGCATGGATGATGCATCTATAGATGGACACTACCAGACTTGCTTCTGATGCTGGATCTGACCTACATTTTTATTTCATAGTAACTATAAGCCCTACCTGAACTAAACTGATCAAATTTTATACACATACAAATTTTCATGTTGCTTTACTAATATATCCTCGGCGGGGCATTCATGTCCTATGGACATATTTCTAGTTATGCAGTTTCTTTGATCATCAATTTTTAATTGAGAAGAAAGTAACAATTACAGGGTAAATCTAAAATGGAGATTGACATCTATTGATATCGTAATATTGATTTTAAAATGTTGCTAATGAAACTGGATAATTAACACAAAAAAATGTACACATACCCAAGAAGTATTTTTTTTTTTTTTGGTTTTAAATAATTTACACTGTCTAGTACTATATACCCTGCCCCAAATTTTTGTTAGAAATTTGTCTTGGCTTATTTAAAAGAGGTAATAAAAAAAAAAATCAAAGTTTGGATGGAGTAGAAATTGTGATTTTAGGGGAAAATGACCCCATTGAAAAAAGGATGTTTACAGTATAAGAAGATACTGGATATACAAAAGACTTGGAAGTGCTTTTGATTATTTTTATTAGGTTTTGACTATAGTGAAGGAAGTGGAGGAGGCTTTTATCCGTCACTTGCCAACGGTTTCATGGATGGATGAACACACACAACAGATAGCCAAGGAGAAAGTGCAGAAGATTGTCGAGATGATAGGTTATCCGGACTGGATCCTGGATACATCAAAACTGGATAAATACTATGAAAATGTGAGTAGCATTCAGATGTTTGAATCGGCACAAATTTGCATTTTGTATGTGTAAGACTTCCTTATGGATAGTTCACTCTGGTTTCTTATGGAGCTAGAACATTAGTATATTGAGATGAACTTTGTGTGTTATTACAATTCTAGACTGTGTACACTTGAGTATCTAAAAGTGTAGTCTTATTCTTTTTAGTTAATGATTTAGATATAATAATAAGTATCTGAATTTGTAAATGTTCTCATCATGCACATAATCATATGATGTTGATGTTGAAAGTCATTTCATTCACAGGTAACAATGGAGAGAGGACAATTTTTCCAGAGTCATCTGAACAGTCTAAGAGAGTCTGTCGTGAGGAACTTTAACAAGTTAGGGACCATGCCTGACAGAGAAGAGTATGTATATATACTGTAAACGTATTCCATTTGGCTGTGTATTATTTTTAAAGCTTTTGGCGGAAAGACACTTTCGCTAATTTAAGTACAACACTAATTTTTTTGTACTTTTAAACGTAAATAAGAACGATAAAAATATACGCTAAATTAGATGTAAGCTAACTTGTTCAAAACTCAATTTCTGCCAAATATCGTACACGCTAAATATAATACATTTACGGTATAGGTTGTGACTTAGATATAAGCTTTCTAATGATTGTGTGATGGAATTTCTAAACTCAAATATTGTTAATTGTACAGAATTGATGCATTATACAGTATTCATGTAAGTTAACACTGTGTTATACAGTCAAACCTTTTTATCTCAAACCGGAAAGAACCAAGATTAAACTTTGAGATATTAAACCAAGTATTTGAGATAACAAGTGTAAAAAAAACATTTTTAAAAAATGGTTGGGACTGACAACACTTTTGAACATAACAATTTTAAGTGGAAGTTGTCTTTACAAATGGCAGGTGATTCCAACTGAAATCAATGCTTACTATTCACATTCCTATAATCAGAATTATCAGATTGAAATGGAGTTACTTCAACCTCTGTGTTGTGTAAGTTAACTCTCTTAACTTTGTTAAGTAAGAGTTGTCTATCTTTAGAGATGGCACATGATTCCATTGGAGACCAATGCTTATTTTTCAAAGTCCTTAACGATCCTTTACAATCCTTAAATAGATTTTGTAAATAGAATTTTAAAAGAGTTACCTCTCATGTTACATGTACATGTGTTTGTTTCTCTTTGTCAAATAAGAGTTACCTCTCTTTTACAGATGGCACATGATTCCAGCTGAGACCAATGCTTACTACTCACAGTCCAATAACCAAATTGTCTTCCCTGCCGCTATCTTACAACGGCCCTTCTTTACACCAACATTCCCTACGTGAGTATATGATACATTTTTACAAAATTTTTAAAAATTACCCCCACGTGTACACTGTCACTTCAACATTTTCGTTGTGTAGGATACAGCTCCCTACAAATATTACTGCACATTGTATACTCCTCATATTTGTATCCATTTCTTCCATCTTTAAATAATTTTTAACTGTAGAATTATAAAAGATTTAGAACATCTTAACACAAAACTTCATCTTTTTACTGGGATATCTCTGAGATGATAAAGAGATCAGGTACTGTTACATGTAGACTGGACCATATTGAATTATGCTCCATTTATTTTTCTTTTCTAGGTCATTCAATTTTGGAACTGCTGGAATGATAATTGGCCATGAAATGACTCATGGATTTGACAATGATGGTAAGAAGATGTATTTAATAATTTTTTTTGACTTATTCATGTATATTCAAAAAAGGCTTTTTCTCTCCATATAAATCTATTGTAACTTTCAGAATGAATCATAATTTTTTTTCTCAAATCATATATCTCCCCAGTTGCCATTTTGACAAGTATCAACTTGTACCAGTACTTTCAGTACTTTGATTTTTCCAGGTCGCCATTATGATAAGTATGGTAATCTTAATAACTGGTGGTCCAACCAATCAGCTTTGAGCTTTCAGAAAGAGACATCCTGTATGGTCAAACAATACTCCGCCTACACAGCTGAGAATACTCATGTAAGTTAATTGTCTCTGTCTGTAGTGTAAGGCCATAATAAATATATTCTAAATCTTCATCCCCTCCCGCACCGATTTTATACCCCCGCCTCGATTTTTTTTATTTCTGTTTTTCTTCGTCTTAATTCTGATCGGGTTCGGTATTCATCTACCAATCTACTTTCGTTCTAAATCCTGCGAAAGTCAACATGATTATGACAGCTGAAAAGATGGTTGCTGTAATACATGCGTATATATTTTAAACAAGGGTTATTGGTTGAAAAAGATTTGTGATGATGTAAAGAATGAGATAATTGAACCTTTACTATGACTTTTATTTGGGTATTGTAGATAAAATTACATCGATTGACCAGGTCAATAAAAAATCTGCAAAATTGAAAAAATAAAAAATATAAAATAAAAGCCACTCGCCCACCTTGATTTTTAAAAAAAAATGCGAATGAGAATCTAGCTATTTATTTATTATGGCCTAAACAATGCAATTCAGTAAAAACTTCTTAGCATGAAAAATCAAAGTATTTGAAACCCTAGTGTCTGAGACATTATTAGATCATCAATATCTCGATCTCTGTGATATGAATATATACAGCCATACTTCAATATTTTAAAATTAATGATTTGACAATAAAAAAAATCGGATATCTCAATGCCTGAGATGATGAAGTTGATACTTGAATTTGTGGTTGAAATCTATGACTTACTTCAACATTACATCATTCAGAAAAATCATGCATATAATGTAAATCTTTGAATCAGCTGAACATACAACATGAGATATTCAAATGAAGATATGACTTTCGTGTCCTATAGTTGAAAGGAGAGAGAGTTCTCGGGGAGAATATTGCAGATAACGGAGGACTGAAGATGGCGTATGCAGCATACAAATTCTGGGAAAGGTCACACATGTCAACAGAGGTCACGGACCTTCCAGGTCTTGGTCTCACTCCAGAACAGCTGTTTTTTGTTGGCTTTGGTCAGGTAGGGTAGATAACGGTGGTTTATAGTTTTGCTATCTACAACATAAACCGTAAGTGTTTAAGCTTCATAACCCACTGCTCACTCATATAAAATTTAGCTTGAACCGTAATGATTTTCCAAAAGAAATGTATTTTATGAAAAAAAATACAAATGCTTTTAGCTTATCTTGCGGGGCAAAATTGGACAAAAAAGAAACTTCAGCTTGGTGAATCTACAAAGGAATGATAGACCTTAATGTCATTAAGAGTTATCTCTCTTATCAGAGTGTCAATGAACCTTAATGCAATATTTTTTACAGTCAAACCTCATTATCTTGAACTCAATGGAACAAAAACAAAATCAAGACAATCAATGATTCAAGACACTGAGTAAAATACTTAATTATAAAGAGTTGGAACTTCCAAATCACTTTGACATATGATAGGGATAATTAACTGTTTTTGAGATCCCTTAAGTTTAATTGTATCTATAAGGAATATTACTTGTATATATTATTATAAACATTTAGTATAATAATGTTTCTTTTTTTGTTTGTTTGTAGCTATGGTGTTCCTACTACACTCCGCAGTATGCGAAACAAGCTATACTGACTGATCCTCATACTATAGGAAAATACAGGTCAGAAAAAACATAATAATTTATCAAATCATAAACCGGTTTTACATTTGAAGTATTTTTTGTTCAAAATGACAAGAGAATTAACCCTAGTCTGTTGACAAGATACATGTATAATCAAACCTCCTTAATTACTATACGAGGGCTGTTAGAAAATTTTGCGGACAAGTCCTACTGTGAGCGCGCTATTTTAATGAAACCAGTAAAACTTCCTAGATAAAAAATTACATATTTTCCAATAAATGTACAAAAATTTTATGTTTCCAGGTGATCCTTAAAAAATATGCAGCTATTTTATTTTGATAAAACATGCTTCACGGAGCATGCTTTGTTTTCACACGTTCACATTACATAGACATTTTATTGATGTTAAATGTTGCACAGTTGTAGTGCAAAAAGATTCATAATATTTTGCCCGTTGCTACAGTATTCATGAAATGTCACTTGGTGAAATTTTGAATTAAATAGGAGTGTATATGACTGTTTTATAATAATTTATAAATAATCAATGCGTAAAAATTAAGCTAATAATGGGAACACGTTGAATGTCATGGAGCACCAAGCTACTAAAAATTATGTGTGCATACAGGAAAATGTCTAAAAAAAGACTTACACACTTCCAGATGCTGCTGATATTGTTTTTACGTACACATGACAAAAGGTAGTAGCTTTATAAAAATGGAAGGATTTAATAACATTTTCAATAGTCAACTCCTGCAATATCGCATTACCCCGCATAACATACTTATTGCTTGGATTTTGCATTGATTTCATACCTAATCCCTTAACTGCACTGACATTTTAAGATCTCACTAATATCCGAAACAGCACAAAAGTATAGAAGAAAAGTAACATGTCGAGACATAAATATTTAATTTAATTTTTAAATGGAAAAAAAGAGCAGAAAGTCTAAAGATTGAAAGATATTTAGAACTCTGAAAAAGCTTAACGAGTATGAAATTTGATTGTCATGTCACTTAACGTCAAGTGATTGCTCCGTGAATCCTATGACCACAAAGTAAAAATCTTTGTATTTTTTTTAAATTTTAGTAAATGGACCTGATTTTTAACATACTAATAAAGAAAAGATAGGAAAGTAATCAGACATAGGTCACAGTTTACACTGTACAATAGATTTTCTGTAAATCAATTGGTCCCCAAACTTTTCTTACAACCCTCGTATATTTAGCTTTCTGTTTCCATAAACTTCATTAACTTTTTGTTATCTTCACCATTTTCATTCAAAACTTTTTTTTCTTCTTATAAAAAATTATTATATATTGATTTAATTTAAGACTTATTTTTTATGCAGGACGATAGGTGTGGTTTCCAATTCAGGTGATTTTGCCCGAGCTTTCAACTGTCCTCCAAATTCTCCCATGAATCCTCAAACTAAGTGCCAAGTTTGGTGATACTCTGTTCATTCCATATTGTCTGTGATTACTGACCTCATTCCACAAAAAATAATTTTATCATTTTCTTAGATGGTATATTTATTAAGTTCTCAAGTGCTGATTGAACAAAGTGTTGTACATGTATTTATTTGTTTACTTTTATTTTTGTGACTATAGATAGTTTTCAGTAGACCCACATTAACAAGAGTTATTTCCCGTTGGCCACCATCTTGGTGGTTTTGTCCTACCAAATATAAGAGGGTGTAGCAGAAATATTTGGGGGAAAATCGTTATGGAATAAACATTATGAAATAAAGGAGGCCCTTTAAAATGTATATTTTTCAGAAAAATAATGCTTCCCAGCCCACAATAGCCAGTATGAAAAGTTGAAGTTGGTTAAATTATGAAGGAATATGAGCATGTTGACCCACAATATGGCGGCCGAAGGGAAATAACTCTTGTTAATTTGGGTCTACTGAAAACTATCTATAGGCCTCAAAGTTAAGTTTAATTAATTATGACATGTGTACAAATATACATGTATTAGGTAAAAACCTTAATTCCTGACCCTTTATATTAGTATACATCACTAATTAAGAGCATATATTACACTTTGTTTTTATGTTATTTGTTTTTAGAGATCTCGTTTGAATTGTTGATATCTTGAAGTTTCAGGAAGTATATTTTTATTTTCATGGTTAATTAGTATTAATTATAGTATATGGTTTATTTTGTCTAACTTGAAGGGTTTTTTGTAATATTTTACCATAATAATATTAATATTACTTGGTAGAATAAAATCAAGGTAATATGTGCCTTCATATATGTAACCCACGATGCACCTATGTGACCTTTGAACTATTTGTCCTTATTTAGTATAATTAGCATAATTCATGCAATGTACATGTATTGATCACAGAGACTGAATGCATAATAATGTGAAGTAGTTGCTATACAAGTGACTTCCATGAAGTTTAGTACATGTATATTACAAACAATTTTTGAGTTGGCTGTTTCAGAGCTGTAAAATTTATCACACATTCATCAAGGTGATCCATACGCCAAATATAATAGTTCTAGCAAAAAATGCTTTGGTTTGAGTGATTGTATAAACTTAAGAGGTAAAAACTGTATAAAATTTCATACTGTAACATTATTTATGTCTTCATGCTTTTAAGGAAATTTTTGATTGAATATCTATACGATGTACAATTACTGCATATGAATATATGTTCAAGCATGTTAGGCGGATCTAATCTTCCTATCTGAAGTTTATTTATAATTGACCTAGAATACTCCCTAACACAAACACCTGCTGCTCTCATAAGCTGCAGCTAGTTGTTGTTGAAAATCTATTTTTAGAATCCAGATTTGCTGTGGGAATCTTTAACCTAATTATTTCATAACACTGACCACTTCAGCTAATGTGCTTAACTTCATTATGGAATCCGGACAAAATAATATGGAAGCCCATCAGTGCCAACCTGTACATATAGAGGAAAAGCAATATACACTCTATTTATGAACCGAACATGGATCAGACATATAATATTCAATCTCTTAAGATGCAAAATAAGCTGAATATATCAAGGTATGGTGCCCAGATGTATGAAAAAGCTCAATTGACTCAAGCGAGTCAACTCGCAGGCCCTTCAGGCCTTTGATTTTGTATCAAGTTATGTACCAAGTGCATGGAGGGATTTATTTTTCTAAAAGAGAATTTGCTGCTAAAGCAAATTTGAATGTGCTTCCACTTAGCTAGCCTATATGTCATTTTTTTTTTTGTTTGTTACATGTAGTTTTCTGTCTTTGTGTAACTGTGAAATACAACTATACTGGCATTTACATGTAGTTGTAACCAAAAAAATCATTCTCTGTGGAAGAATTTAAATAAATTTTAAATTTTGAACCAATGCTTCTGATATTTTGAAGTACGGCTGTTGAAAGTTTATTTATTTTAATAAAAGAGAGTAACATTTTATATTCTTTTTTACTTTGACATCTGTAAAAATACATATTTTCAGATTTTTCAGATCATTTTAATTAAGCAATGAATTTAATAGCTACCCATTTTATACAGTATAAACTCAGGTTTGGGGCAGTTTATGCTTTATAAAGCATGAAGCGGTTATTAAATTAAATTGAAATTATAATTTAAAAAAAATCATTTATTTGCATGTACATAGAATACTCATGCATCGTCAGTTTTTCATTTTCATTTCAAAATGTATTTTCCATATGGTCTTATAAATTTGAGTTGGAGCTACATGTATAAGTACCAATGGCAAGGCCAAAGAATTCATGAGTTACAAAATACTTCCATGGACATTTACATTTTAATAAAATGCTAATGCAAATAGAATGTCTTG